CTCCTCCTCCTCCTCCTCCTCCTCTTCCTCCTCCGCCTCATCATCATCATCATTGCATTTATATAGCGCAAAAGGAAGATCCGTGTAACGTGCCTTTCCCAAGGACACAAGGATGGGCCTGAACCTTGAACCCTCAAATCTGTGACCTCACAATTTTGACTCCGGTACCTTAACCACCAGACTACTGACATACATAAACAATCTAACACTCTAATATAGGTACAAAGAATATTTCATCTTTTTTTTTTTTAATAGTAGAGGGTTTTGCGGCGTTCGCAACTGCATAAGGTCATATAAACACCAAGGGGTGGATATCAACAGAGAAGTCTTTACAGGGAATCAGACTTAGACTACTCACCTCTCTAGCTTCAACAGCACGAAGTCTGCTTCGACTATCAAGGCACACTAAAATAGCAGGTCACAAGAGAGTGACAAACATATAAAAAAAAGTAGAGGAAAATGACAATAGTAAGGATTAGGAAAGAAAAAGCAGCAGTTCCCTGTTGTAGATCAGGCACAGTTATGAGCGTAACATGAATCAGCCCATTTACAATTCTACTATGCTTGATCGAGAAATGTCCCCCTTTTGGGAATGGCCTAAAGACACTACAGTCAATGGCACTGCCCCGGGGGGTAATATTTCATGAAAGTTACCAAATAAGCAGTATCACACCAATACAGACAATGTTACAAATAATCAATTTGTTGGCCCCACTGTGAAGGGCCCTGTTTTTTTTAGCTACGGTTGTCGTGTCTTGCTAAAGGACACACACCAGTGACCACCAACCCAAACGCTGTGTCACCGACTTAAGGTTGAAATGTGTCGCTTTTAGGGACAAGCGAGCTAACCCAGATTTCCGGGGTTTCCAGAAATCTTGACCTACACCAAAAATGGGCATGGCCCTACCAGTATGAGACGTTTGGTTTCACTGGTGTGTATATTTGTTTGGTTATAGAGAAAACTCCTCTTGTTTTTTAAAAGAAATTGAACAAGAGGCAAAACCTTACTTTCGTTTTTCTCAAAACAGCGTTTTTCGGGATAGCCCCCTTGTGCTTAAATCTGATGATGAAAATGGCCAAGTTTGTATAACAATTGTATTTCTGTGCTTAAAAGCGACCAATTATTGAGAGCCTGAACTGACTGACTACCGACTCGGCCATTTGTGCCACTCTGAAATTGGGTCCAATAATTATTAGACATGTTTGTTGTATTTTCTCCAGGTTCACAATGGGTCAGGAAACCAAACATGACTTCGAGGACATTCTGAGTCGTCTCGGCGGCTTCAGCAAGTTTCAAGTCCTCATGATTGGATCTGTGTTTACCATGAAGTTCATGATGGGCTGGAGCATGCTACAGGTATCCTGTGTGTTTTAGTTAGCTTTAGTAAGAGTTTTACGGCACTTGCAGCAAAATAAGGTAAAAAAGTGCCGAAGATTAGAGGTGTTGCAAGAGAGTAACAAAAAAACAACAACAACAACAACAAAAAAAACACACAAAAAACCAACCCCAACCCCCCCCCCAAAAAAAAAAAAGGAGGAGGGAAGATAACGACGATGCATTTCTTTATAGCAAAGAGGGAGAAAACCACACCAGAGCACCTGCCAACAGCTCACTATCCTGTCTGTGGTTACGTTTGTTTGTTTAAGTAAGGTTTTACGGTGCTCGCAACTGTATAAGGTAATATGAGCCAGCGCCAAGAGGTGGATGTCAACAGAGAAGTCCAAACGGGGAATCAGGTTTACTCTCCTCACCTCTCTAGCTTCAACAGCACAAAGTCTTCTTCGACTATCAAGTCACCCTGGAAATAGCAGAGTCTCAAGAGAGTGACAGACATACGAAAGAAGTAGAGGAAAATGACGATAATAAGGATGAGGAAAGAAAAAGCAGCAGTTCCCCCTATGTTGTTCCGGCACAGTATGAGCATGATATTGATAAATTAGCCCATTTACAATTCTACTGTGCATAAGAACATGTTGATATCCCCCCTTTGGGAATGGCCTAAAGACAACTTCAGTCAGTAGCAGTGCCGGGGGGTGGGTGGGGGGTGGGGGGTTGGGGGGGGGTTATGTTTGAATAGTTTTGTATGAAAGTGAGTGGCTGAAAATATGAAACCGCAGCGAGAGATTAAAGAAAATGAAATGTCCTTAAGCAAATCTTCACTACTTTTTAAAGGGTCTGTTTGTGTAAAGAACGACCAAAGATTCCAGCGTTCTGAAAGTTATATATTTTTCGAGCAGAAACATCTCTGGATTGGCATAAATTTAAAGTGAGAAAAAGAAAATAATTTGCATTGATTTCAAATTGAATAATGGTTACGGTTAAGGTTAATATATGTGGAAATCAAATAAATACTGTTTACTTATGTCGCAGCTCAACTGAGAGATTCTACTGCCTGAACCTACGAACTTTTTGTTGTTGTTGCGGATTTTACAAGTTAATCCCATGCCCTCAAACGACCCGTCCTTGCTAAGAAAAAGATAGAACCAACATAAGAGTAAAATTCCCAAGTTTCTTAAAAGAGGGGTCTTTGTTCCTGGTAGATGAAAAGAATAAAACTAACGAATTATCAGATAATATATATCTGTAGTTTGTTTTTGGACAATTCGGCAATGTGCGTATTATGTTGACTCTTTTGTGTTGTGTGAGAAAGTTTGAGGGAGAACTCACTCTTGCGAGAAGCGGGATTGCGGCAGTGAGTACTGTCCTGCACCTAGTGGTGAGAAGGTTATGGTTAGGCACCGGCCGGTGATTAATTTTAGTGGACTGTGAAAATTCTTGCAAGAGGATTTTCGAGGCAAGAAGCATCTCTTCGTTACCTTACCTGTGTAGGTAAGAATCAGTGATCTTGTTACAATAATATCATCACCACCCTCCTCTCAGTGTAACAAGTTCGAGGTTAAAACAAAGGAGAAACAGGTTAAAAGAAAGGAAGAAAAGTTAAAAGAAAGGAAGAAAAGTTAAAAGAAAGGAAGAAAAGTTAAAAGAAAGGAAGAAAAGTTAAAAGAAAGGAAGAAAAGTTAAAAGAAAGGAAGAAAAGTTAAAAGAAAGGAAGAAAAGTTAAAAGAAAGGAAGAAAAGTTAAAAGAAAGGAAGAAAAGTTAAAAGAAAGGAAGAAAAGTTAAAAGAAAGGAAGAAAAGTTAAAAGAAAGGAAGAAAAGTTAAAAGAAAGGAAGAAAAGTTAAAAGAAAGGAAGAAAAGTTAAAAGAAAGGAAGAAAAGTTAAAAGAAAGGAAGAAAAGTTAAAAGAAAGGAAGAAAAGGTTAAAATTAAAGCAAAGGAGGAAAAGGTGAAAACAAACCAGGATAAAGTTAAAACAAAAGATGAAAAGGTTACAACAAAGGAGAAAAGGTTACAACAAAGGAGAAAAGGTTAAAACAAAAGAGGAAAAGATTAACATTTAAAAAAGGAGGAAAAAGTTAACACAATGGAGGGAAATGTATAAAAGGTTAAAACAAAGGAGGAAAAATATGCAAAATGAGTCAATGGAACGCCCCCCCCCCCTAAAGGAAGGTTTACAGTTTCAAAATAAATGTTTGAACCAGTTGAAAGGGCAATGCATATATATCTATTTCTCTTGTTCTCGACCCCCTCTCCCCAACTCCACCAATTTCTCACTCTGTGTCCACCCTCCCCTTTTTTTTTATCCCCCCTCCCCCACTCCCACTTTCTTTCTCTGCATTGTAGTCATTTGAAAAATTTTAAAAAGAAGGGTGCATTTTCTCTAATGTAAGAATTTTCTGATTTTCATTTCTTTTCTCTCTGCACTTATATTTTCTTTCCAGATGTCCTTCGCTGGGCTCATTCCGGATTGGTACTGCGTGTTGGACGATGGAGGAAACCGATCTGTCGTGGAGAGGAGCCTGAACTCAACCTTCGAGCGGTGTGAGGTGGATGGAGAAGTTTGCCAGGACTTTCGATTCGTCGAGTCAGCCAGGACGATTATAACAGAGGTAAGGACGGAGAATAAGGAGGGGAGTGGGGAGGGCGGGGGGGTTGTGGTTGTAGTTATGAGAGTAATGCTGGTTAACGTGGCTGCAGTATTCATCATCAATGCCTTTCACCCCTGGCAGGGTATAGGCCACATACACGCTCCCTACTTTTATCTCTGTCCTGGGCTATCTTTCCAAGCTCGTTCCAAGTGAGCTTCATCTCGCTCATGTTCCTTTCCACGCATCTCTTCCATGTTTCCCGTGGCCAGCAATAAATAATTATTGCTATCCTAGAGGCCGTGATGCTGATAACAATCGTAAAGAAGCAAATAGTGGCAGCAGGAACAGGCAGCATCAGTAGTAGTAGTAGTAGTAGTAGTAGTAGTAGTAGTAGTAGTAGTAGTAGTAGTAGTAGTAGTAGTAGTAGTAGTAGTAGCAGTAGCAGCAGCAGTAGCAGCAGCAGCAGTAGCAGCAGCAGCAGCAGTAGTAGCAGTAGTAGTAGTAGTAGTAGTAGTAGTAGTAGGTAGTAGTAGTAGTAGTAGTAGTAGTAGTAGTAGTAGTAGTAGTAGTAGTAGTAGTAGTAGTAGTAGTAGTAGTAGTAGTAGTAATAGTAGTAGTAGTAGTAGTAGTACTAGTTGTAGTTGTAGTAGTAGTAGTAGTAGTAGTAGTAGTAGTAGTAGTAGTAGTAGTAGTAGTACTACTACTAGTAGTAGTAGTAGTGACCGAAGTGCACATGATTTTAGTCTTAGTAAGAGTTTAACGGCACTTGCAACACAACTGGGTCATGTAAATGTTGGTAGAGTTTGAAATGACTTCTTCACTTCTAGCTGCAGAAGATACATAAGCCACCATCAACATCAGAAACAACGCCTGTGCTGTAAAAGTTCTTATACTAATGAGCATGATTCATTGCTAACTGCTGTCATCTCCGAGACACTCTTTAGATGGCCAGAGATCTTTTCTTTTTTTCTCTCTAACTCATCGTTATTTTGCATTCTCAGTTTTCACCCAATCTGATTCCCCTCCTGTTCATTCTCCTGCACTTCTTCTCCCCCTCAAACTTGTCCTCCTCCTCCTCTTCCTCCTCCTCCTCCTCCTCCTCCTCCTCCTCCTCCTCCTCCTCCTCCTCCTCCTCCTCCTCGTCCTCCTCCTCCTCCTCCTCCTCGTCGTCGTCGATTTCTTCTTTTCATCTTTCTCCTCTTCGTCTTTCTCCTCTTCGTCTTTCTCCTTTTCGTCGTCGTCGTCAACATTCTCCTCCCTCCTCCTCCTCCTCCTCCTCCTCCTCCTCCTCCTCCTCCTCCTCCACCTCGTTTTCCTCCTCCTACTTCTTCTCTTCGTCGGCCTCCTCTTCGTCTTTCTCCTCTTCGTCGTCTTCGTCAACATTCTCCTCCTCATTTCCTTCTCATCGCCATAAAGCTCCCCTGGCCATTCTGCCAACCTAATCACTGGTATCGCTTGAGTTTCCCTCTTTCTTTCTCGATGTTTTCTAAATTGTTCTCAAACTATTCTCGTATTAACAGCAAATCCGCATAAAACTTACATAATATAAACATTGAACGGTAAACGAAATTTTCTTGTCCTTCGTTCTCCGTATTCTTTTCTTGAACATCGATATTGTTTTGTTGTGGATCTTCCCCATCTGTTTCAACAAAGTTCAGGTTTAATTCATTTCTGCGACATCCAACCATGGGCTACTTTATTGAGTCTCATCTATCGTCTATTTCAACCCCCCCCCCCAAGCTATTGTCTATTTCAATAACTCTCAGCCTAGTTATGGTCTATTTCCTTAAACCTCAAATATCGTCTCAATCAATAACCCTTAGTCCAGTTATGGTCTATTTTAATAAACCCCAGCTATAGTCTATTTTAATGCCTCTCCTCTCAGCTGTCTCCCAATTCAATGACTTTCAGCTATCGTCTATTTCCCCTGCTTCAAGTCATTTTCTGCATCCATTTCTTTGCTTCTGGCCTTTTCCCTATCTCCCCAATTAGGCGGTTTTCTTGGCAGTATAAGAGCTAAGAATAGAGTGAATGTTGTACTGACCAGCCCGCTCAGGAAAACATAACACAAGCCCAAGTGATTGATCAGTAGCGGTATCAGCACCGGCTCCAAAAACATCAGAGGTATCTGAGCCGTACTCACGACACCCAGGTTTGAGACGTAATGAGTGGAGCCGAAAATATCGTGTGCATAAAAGTTGATATGAGTCCGAAAGATTCCCACACACGAGAACTCTGCCACCACTGCGGCGAGGAAGAGAGGGGGGCAGAACTGTGGGGAAATGCACATTATGGTCATGAAGATGCTGGTGAGCCCAGATGTTAGGACGATGCTCATCTTTGCTCCCAGTCGGTCGAGACACATTCCTCCTACGGGTCGGAAGAAGAAGAGTAGGGCTAAGTTGGAGATTCCAGTGGCGGTCAGCACAGCGTCGTTGTTGACGTACGTCTGAGCGAATTGTTTATACAGTGTCATATGGACAGTAGAGGCGTGGTTCATAAGCAGAGACAGGAACCAGGTGACCCAAAATGTGGGAACGAACAAGAGCTCTTTCGGGGATAGATGGTGCGGCTGGTCTCGGGCCAGGCTTTCGTCTTTGGATTGAGGATTAGCTTTACGTGCGTCCATGAGACTTATAGAAGCAGACACGCTCTTTTCCTGCTCCAGATACATCGAGTCTGTGGAACTGTTGGAATTGTGCGATTTAGGAGAATAGCATCGAGACGCAGTCTCAGGGAGGGCGACGTCTTGTTCTGAAAGCGATATTGCAGAGTCCACCGTAGACGTCTCTTCGCTCTTGTCATTGTTGCTGTTGATGCTGCTACTGCTGCTGCTGCTGCTGCTGCTGCTGCTATTGCAGCTGCGTCTGTTACTGCTGCTGGTGATGTTGACAGCTTTGGTGGATGTCAGTTCAGGATGGGTGTAAACAGTATTGTTTGGAATCTGTAATACGGAATCATAACTCCTCAAATCAACATCAGAACTCACAGAATCGCTGCTCTTTTCTGCAACGATTTCTATCAGCTCCTCTTCAATTCCTTGAACGTTACCTGCTGTGTAGAGAAGTAAGGATCCGAGACACGTAGTCAGCAGCGCCAGGATACCCAGGACTAAGAAAAACGTTGGCACACGGTCGAGAAGAACCTGGTCTGTGAAAAAGCCGTCACGGTCAGCTTTGATGTTCGTGGGGTTGATCACAACGTAAGTGATTACTATGATGAGAAGGTTCCCGGCAGTGCCACCGGCATTCACCACGCCTGTGACGAGGCCGCTGCTTTTGCTTGTTCCCTGACGCACGATCTTGGAGATCATGGCACGGACCGCGCCAGAAGACAAGCCGTTGACCGCTCCAAAAGTGACCACGAATGCTACAGGAGATACAATTGTCCACGTACTGACCAGTACAGATACGAAAGCTAGACAAGAGCTGACGATCAATGTGAGCGTAGCTGACAATTTTCTTTCCGTGAAGCCGGCGAGCAACATGCCGAGAGGGGTGACTATGTAGTACGCACACACCACCCACAAGGGGTACTCGTTGGAATGTCTGTTGGGACTCTGGGCGTGGTAGTATGAGGTGAGGTAAATGAGAAGGTTTCCGAAGAAAGAGGAAAGTCCAACTGGGAACATGAAGAATATGCATCCCCATACGAGGGAAAGTGTTCTCCTTCTGGAAGACAGCTCCATTTTCGACAGCTTCGGCACTGTGGACGACACACAAGGAAGATGTTGGTAGAGGATATTGAGAAGTAGGTGTCATTTGTAGGGTAAGCTAATAGATGAGCAGAAAAAAAAATTAAGGTTATATACATGTGTTGTTCTTCATGCCTATGCGACAGGAGTCAGTGTGAAGTGAGGGCAACTTAAGGGGATGGATAGATGCACCTGTCTCAACTGGCTCTCTCTCTCTCTCTCACTCACTCACTCTCTCTCTCTCTCTCTCTCTCTCCCCCCCTCTCTCTCTCTCATTCGCTCTCTCTTTCTCTCACACACACGCACATTAATGTACATATCTTGACAATGACTTCAGGACTCTTTTTTCCTATTCGGCTTACGTTTCCAAGGACCAGAGATCACAGACTGATCTAACCCTAAGAAACGAAAGTTAAAAGGCTAAATAGGACACTCATTTTATTCTCCAGGTATTTAAAAAAACTGCATGCTTAGCTCATTTAAATGATATATATCAACATGCAGAGGTAAAATTGCTAGCTTTGCTCATTTAAATGATATATATCAACATGCGGAGGTCGTCGAAAGGTCCTTTCAAATATAACATATTATTTTACATGTCAATTTACTGACAGACTTAAGATGAACCAAGAAGCTTCTGGAAATTGGCATATTTTGAAGACTTGATAACAACTGTAGAATGTAGAACTTTGCTATTTCTGATTAAGTATTTCCATACACGTGTCATGGGTTCTCGTACAACATTTCTGACCATAGTAAATGTTCATTTTCTTAATATTCAAAATAAAAAGAGAGACGGCTGACATTTAAAAAACAAATCAGTTTTATAACCCTTCTATCCAATACAAATGGAATGCACGATTGCTGGCTAGCCTCGCAAAGAAACTAATTTGCAACCAGAAACATTTTTGATACTTTTTAGGTCTCTCGTTTTGAAAAGTAAAATATTGAGTTTTAAGCACACACTAGAAATAGAAACTTGCTGCAGAAATTTTCCTAAAATGTTTTATTTTTTCCCCTAATCTTTGAAAAGCAGCTACTGGAATGACGATGACATAGGCTATAAAGGAAAACTCGATCTGGGCCAGTCTTTAGAAGGAATTTTAAAATTGCTCTATTGGCAGGGCTATGAAGCGGATTGCTTTGAAATTTCTTTTTTCAATCATCTTATCTCCCAAGGTCTAACATCCTGCTTAGCTTCAATCACATTCCGTTATATCGAAGAAATTTGATTCGAAAGCCCTAATTTTTGCTATCTTTTCGAAAATTCTCTTCCTTTTGGCTTTTATAGATAATAACAAGAACATGTTGGGGCTTTCTAGCCCTTGAAACGAGCACCGTGTCACAGCTTGCCAGAGGACGAGAATCTAGGCGAAAAAACTTCAATGCGTGCAAGCAAGATGCAAGAAACAAAATTCGTGCATCATTCTAGTCTCTGAATGGCATATGCTAATTTGGAATCCCCCCCCCCCCACCCTTTTACATTATTTCAAAATGTATTTCTGACATGAAGTCACCGTCGACTAAAATGTGAATAAATGTGGTCCTTGAGAGAATGGAGATCCCGAATGTGCGTTTTAGGTCAAGTTAGTTCTCAGTTAAAAGGTGGAGGGGGGGGGGGCAAGTATATTTTTACCCGTTGGAAGAAGTGCCAGTGCGTGTGCCCCAGCGCGACGCGAAAGTATCCCACGGCACGGGTATAGATCACAAACGTTGAGTCAAACCATAGACTGTATACTGTCATAGTCACCTCTTTCCTCTCATTAAAAACCTCCTAAATGACACACTGGTAGGAAGTGGACAATTTGCAATATTTACAGTCACCCACAGACGACAAGTAAAACGACTGATCTACAAGCAGCCAACTACAAAACAACAACAACAACAACAACAACAACAACAACAACAACAACAACAACAACAACATCAAACATCCAAAGCAAAAAAGAAAACCCAAACCCCCAAAACTAAAGAAAAAAAAACGAGCCCAAAAACCCAATGAGCACGGATGATTTCAATGGCTATTTTGCTGACTGGGGCTACACCAACTACTGTGGCACAGGCCGAAAGAAAGAAGAGCTATGTGATATCAGCAACATAACGTGTTTCAAGATGCCGACTCTCAGCCGGCCTGATCTCACCATCAGAATCTGCTCACCCGACATTGGAAACTCCAGTCAAATCGAAGTGGTTGACGACATAGGAAATGATCACAGGCCTATCATTACATACAAAGACCTTCACTTCACCTGCGTTGGACCACCCTCGTAGGACTCATTGGAACTCTAAGAAAGCCAAGTGGGCAGAAGATGAAACGACTTCTGACAACCTTCTCTCTGGTATACTAGAAACAGAAAACTGATTTTTTAAAACCCTATCCGTACGCCATGGAATCATTTTGTACCCCCTGGGTTGTATTCTTCACATTTTAGAATACTTCTAGTACGAAGATCTCTTTGAAACTTTCAGTTTTTCTCAAAAAATCATTTTGACAGACTGATGTGCAAAGCGTACGGATCGGATTAACGAGTAAATTTCCTCTTTGGAAAGTGGTGGCACAGAGTTCCTTACGTCGCATGGATACGATAGTAAAACACGACGTACGGATAGGGTTAATGGCCAAGTCACTTTAAAAAATATTTAAGCTGCACTTCAGCACATTCCACGGAGATTCCGAGGAAACTTCAAATCCTTTTGGAGTAACGAAATCCAGATTGCTTGGACAGAAAGAGAAAAAGTTGGACAGTTTTTGGAAAATTCGCCATCGCAAACAACTCGAACCCACTACAACAAGACCTTCGCTCAGGTGATGATCACTGTTAAAAAGTCCTCCAAAAAGAGAAATGGACACAAAAATCTTTACCTCCACCTCCACGACAGTGGAACAAAGGTCTGGTCTCTTGTCAGCGATCTTTCAGGAAAAAGACAGAAAGTCAACCCCAAACCTATTTTCCTTACATGAAGATATAAGATAAATATTAAAAAATCTAAGAGAATTGCCCAGGTAATACTACTCCTGAATAATGGGAAACCACCTGGAGGAGTAAAGAGCTACTACTTCTGTCACTAACATCATGTATCGGTAAGCTTACTGAAAGAAATATAAACAACTACGTGAACTTGTAAGAAGGTGGGGGTGATGGATTGGACATACTCTCAGGAAGTCAGGCAGCTGCATAACAAAGAAAGTTTTGGATTGGAATCCACAGAGTAAGAGATCAAGAGGAAGACCGCTTGGAACGTGAAGAATAACAAAAATCGATGTACAGAAAAGTGAGAAGACATGGAATAACCCCAAGAGGATAGCCCATGAGAGAGAAAGGTGGACGGTGTTTGTCCGTGGCCTATACCCTGGTGCAGGGTGAGAACAGCAATGCTGATGATGACCTCAACTGGTACCTGGAGAACTCCAACAGCATGAACTCACGCAACTGGTAATGACAGAATAGACACACTTTTGACAAAATGGGATCCAGACAGGAACAGCCTAACATTCCAACTTCATACAACACAGCTAAACAAATAATTAAAATCGTTAACAAACAAAATTGAAATGAACAGGTGGGACTTCGGAAAAACTGTCAGAGCAGCTTCCAAACACAATATGACTACAACAACACGAAATAGCAATATCAACCACTTTCAGAGAAAGGAACATATCACGATCTTCCACCTACGAACAGAACATAACATGCAGCTCACCTTCCTCTAGCACAGAATAAAACCAGAGATTCCCCCCAGCTTGTCCTTTGTGTGACTATAGGTCTTCGTATGAGACTGTTTTCCACTGCACAGTCTCAATGACATCAGGGCTACCCTTCTCCCTTCGAGACCTAAAATAACACTCTCTATGGAACTGCACAGAACCTGCACTTATTACTACATGGCATTGGTCAGAACTGCAAGAGCCGAGCAGTTGCTGGATCGATAACAACATCAACAACAACAACAGTAACAATAACAACAGCAACAATAACAACAAAAACAACAACAACAACAACAAGAGCAACAACAACAACATCAATAACAACAACTACAACAACAACAACAACAACTACAACAACAACAAGAGCAACAGCAACAACAACACCACCAACAAAAGTAACAACAACAACACCAATAACAACAACAACTACAACAACAATAACAACAACAACAACAACAACAACACCAATAACAACAACAACAACAACACAACAACAACAACAACAGCAACGATGACGACAACGACAACGACGACGACAATAACAACATCAAAGCCATCCGCGCACCTTGCCAGTTTCCGCTTTTATCCCGTGATAACTCTGAGCTATTATGAACGTATTACGATTTTTATATTTTAAAAAGTAACAAAAACAGAGGTAAGCAAAAACATTTATAGTTCCGAGTGGAACGGAGAAGCTAAAAAGAGCGCTGTGGAAGCTTCGTGCGTTTATGGCACTCTCAGGTCATTCTGACATGCTGTATGAAATACTTTTATCAGGTAGCAGCTGCTGCTAAAATATCTATCTATCTATCTATTAATCTATCTATCTATCTATCTATCTATCTATCTATCTATCTATCTTTCTATCTATCTAACTATCGCTAATATTTGTGAAGGTTTGTCACTTTGGTCGCCTAAAACTTCCGAACCACTTAAATTTCGAATTTCAGAAATTTAACGACGGTTCAGAATCAGTTAAAGGGTGCACAGTTATATCAAGGAGTCTGAAGTCATTAGTTTAATTTTCAATATTGCATTGCCTTCGTTTAGATATGGATCTAGATTCTAATCTTGGGAAAGTCCGTCTACTAAGACGCCACTGTGAACATGTGAGGCTTCCGTTCACAAGCAATGCGTACTGTTTCCACAATGACTTGACGATCAATTCTTTTTAGTCCGTTTGTCGAACGGGTACTTGCTTTTCTTTCTGCCGACTTTCTGAATAGAGCCATTCACTTGTTTTGCCTAAA